ACCATGGTAAAAAAAAGAAGGTAGTTTCACCCAATTATTTTTTTTCCAGCCATATTAACTGTTGCTTTATAATTGTGCTATCAAGGCGAATTAACATAAGGTGGTGTTGTTTCATCAGCTGTGAGGGGCGTTTGATTGTCAAAATTTTGTATTTCGCTAGTGAGTGAAAACGTGAGAGTGTTTGTATTTTCTGTCGCTCATTTTCATTCGGCGAAGAATAGCTGAAATTTGACAATGGCTCGCTAAAAGCAAAAACAAAATACAAATAATTTATTTGTTGAATCGATACCACCTTATATGTAATCGCTTTGTGCGCTCCAATTAAATTTATTTAAAAAAAACCTTAAATATAAAAAAAATATAAAAATTAGAAACGCATTCAAAGGCTGTTGTAATTTGATTGGAATTCGATTTAAATTAAACAAACCACTATCAGATTTAACCGCTGGGGATAACGCCCTTGAAAAAGGAAACTTTCCGTTGTACTAATACCGGCATAGCAGCACGCACGACTTGAAGACTCCCGGCTGCACCTCTGTACTAAAACCTCTCCACGAACCACAAACCACTCTCCCCGTGGAACTGCCATTCAAGGTTTACTTCAAGGCGCTCCTTACGTATTATGACGGCTACTTAGATGCTCAGCTCGTCCTAAATCTACATGGATGCGTTTGGCATGAGCACATATCTTTTCCCAGTTCCCACTTGAAGCTAACATATAATCCAGTACGTCGCACAGTGTATCATTTCCATATTCTAGAAAAGATTAATTACATTATTTTATGTCGCCAAATTTCAAAACAACGTCAAGAATGTTTTTAGAAATGCCTGATAAAGATAAAGCAATAACAACTAAAAAATTTAAATCAAAGTGTATGGCGGGACGGGGTTTGATTTGGAATATTACTGAGCGCAATAATATTTAAACGTGTATATTTGAAACTGAATCTCACTGTTTAATTTGTCGGTGTTATGTGATTTATGCAACAATTGCTAAAATATCATTTTGGTCTTATTTTTTTAGGTATGATCTTTTTAATGAATATACATTTTTGGGAATTTAGTTAAGTAGGACTGATTATTTCATGTTGAAGTAAAACGATGTTGGCTTAGATTTATTTTTATCAAATTATTATTTTTATTAGACCCGAAAACTCGTTATCCGCCACTATTCGATAAAGTTTGTATCTCAGTTTATTTGCCACTCCTCTTAGATTTTAAACAACATAATTTTAGCTGCTGGAAAGTGCAGGTTTTCATGAAATTTTCTTTTTTCTGGCCTACTGGGAATTTCATTTTCTTCGAGTAATTCATTTGCATTTTATCTCTACCGAGAAAAATTCTTGTATTTTTGCTTTGAATAGATTAAGCCTGATTCATTACATTTGTAATGGTATCCCATTTTTGTAAATAGAGCAAGAAATATTGAACTTATAACGGAGTTTTGTTGACCTAACTTGACTTTTTTATCGATATTTTCCACGCCCATAATTAAAAAAAAATATATTTATTTTTAAGTCCATTTCTGTCAGTTTATAATTCCTTGTTATATGGAAATTCTAAATATAAATATTGGGAATTTTAGCCTTTGTAGTTAGTTAAATATTTCAGTTTTTGCATTTTTAAAAATTGCATTTATATAATAGGGTGGCATGACAGTAACTATAAACTACCAATTTTTTGTAAAAAGCTTCGCCTATCTTATAACGTACCTTGTGCAAAATTTCATTAATCTATCTTCAATAGATTTCGAAATACAGAATTAAAAGCAGCTAGATGGGTCAAATCTTACACTGTGCGTCGGTGCCCTGCAGAATGTTTCGTATTATATGTTTCACTTTTTTCCTCGTTCCTGTGCACTTAGAACAGTACGGGGATATGTAAACTGTAGTCTCCATGATGCCCATTCAGCCATTTTCATTGCTAGTGATGAGCTGTGGGACCCCCTCCCTGTTTCTGAGTCGTCCCATCATCTCTGCCAGATTTCCATAGAACCTCTCTTCGGTAGCTGTTATTATTTCGCGTTAGACCATCGTTATTCTCGGACAGGCGATTATATATTCTTTTCCTCTCTTGTACCTCAGAAATTTTACGGGATCCGCAAACAGCTCTCAGTGCACTTAAGCGATACACACACTGAGGGGAAAAAATGTAAAATCAAATAAAAACTTATTTAAATCAAATGAAAACGAGTTCAAAATTAGTGTATAATAGAAATATTCACTTCAAATACGCCCATCTTAAAATGAAGTATTTTGCACTTCGCGGATGCTTTTTCGTAATACATACGAAGAAAATCAAAACAGGTGCTATTCAGCAAGATTGCTTTCGTTTGTTATTAGTTAGTAGTTAGTATCAATGAACATTGACTCAAAGAACAGGTCAGAAAAATTTAGAATCAAAAAAAGTCAGCACTTTTATGCCGAAAAATTGAACAGCACCTTTAAAAGAAAAACTTCTCATCTGCTTCCGAATAGCAGAGCTATTGGAATGTCTTCTAATACAGCTTCCAAAGGTAAAGTCTTACCTAACTGCCCGTCTCCACAGGATAAAGTTTAAATCTTGATACATATGTTAGAATATAAATAGCCAATGGAGACCGCTCATTGCCCCTCAAGAGCAATATATATCAGAGCTTATATCTTGCCATCTATTGCCGGTAATTTGGTAGTTTGACAGCTACATTTTCATTTGCAGGAAAACTTCGTGGCGGCAACACTATTGATATTTTTATATAAAAGCAAAAATTGAACTGTTAAAATATTTGTTATTATGTAACGGGTGATTTTTTTGAGGTTAGGATTTTCATGCATTAGTATTTGACAGATCACGTGGGATTTCAGACATGGTGTCAAAGAGAAAGATGCTCAGTATGCTTTGACATTTCATCATGAATAGACTTACTAACGAGCAACGCTTGCAAATCATTGAATTTTATTACCAAAATCAGTGTTCGGTTCGCTTTACGTCCGATTTATGGTCTACATAATCGACCAAGTGAGCAAACAATTAATGCGATTGTGACCAAGTTTCGCACTCAGTTTACTTTATTGGACATTAAACCAACCACACGAATGCGTACAGTGCGTACAGAAGAGAATATTGCGTCTGTTTCTGAGAGTGTTGCTGAAGACCGTGAAATGTCGATTCGTCGCCGTTCGCAGCAATTGGGTTTGCGAAACACATTTCGAACCGAACACTGATTTTGGTAATAAAATTCAATGATTTGCAAGCGTTGCTCGTTAGTAAGTCTATTCATGATGAAATGTCAAAGCATACTGAGCATCTTTCTCTTTGACACCATGTCTGAAATCCCACGTGATCTGTCAAATACTAATGCATGAAAATCCTAACCTCAAAAAAATCACCCGTTAGTTGTATGTAAAATATCATATGTTTTTAATTTTTAAGTGCTTAAATCCGGCAAAAATACGTTTTAGAAGCTATCTTACAAATGCTTGTATCAAGATATAAAAAGCCCACACAAATATTGCCACTGATATAATTGATATCTAGCGACCATAGGGACGGCTGGACAGCAATAAATTGTATGCTGTGGAGACGGCCAGTAAGAGCTCCTCATTTTGCCGGCTCGTCTTATGTTGCCTATGTTATGTTGCCTATGTTTTGCTGTAAGATTTTACCATTGCAATTCAAACTCTCTTTCATCTTGGCTGCTAGAATTTCGAAAAATTAGTCTCATTACTCAAAAATTTCCAGCTAGAAATTTTTTTTCCAATATTTCTACAAAATCAATTTTTTTCTCAGATCACTAAAAATATGAAAATTATTTATAGAAAAGGTAGCATTAAAAAGCCACAAAAAAACACGAAGCCTAAACTTGCGAGGCTAGAGAAAAAATGTAATTGCTAAATCTAGCCTCAAAAGGGCTAACCTGGTTACACTGGTGCGCACACGTGATGTTTAAAAAATCTGTTCTCCCGGTAGTTTCTTGTGTAATGGGGAGAGCGGAATTTCGTTATTGCAATAATCTCAGCTTTTCAGTTAAAGGTCAGATGCAAAAGTAGATTATGAAAAGAGCACTAGGGTAAACTAGAAACAGTTTCTTTCTTATCTTTAAGCACACTCACAAGCAAGATAGTTTAAATTATTACACATCTGGCTACATATATATCTCAAAGATTAATATCTTATGATCGTCATTTACACAACCAAACGGCTGAAAAGATAGACAGCACTGTGCACAATGTGGGGTTTAGAATACGCCTAAATCTTAATATATATTAGCATGTACATACATGCACTTACATACATAAATACATAAATACATACATACATATATGCACATACATATATATGTATGAATATTGTGTAGAAAAAAATTTAGCTGTATAGTAAATAGTTGATACAACAACAATTGAAGCATTTTCTTTTGCTACTCAAGTAGTTATGTAAACATAGATATGTATGTATGTATGTATGTATAGTACATACTTATGTATATAAACAAAAGCGAAAAAGTGCAACGCGCAGCAAAATTCAAGCACAACCACAATTAAAGTGATCAGCGCACATTTTAAATCTCTGATTCCAGAATTCAGTTGATGAGCAAGCGACCGACGGCTAAGATTAATAAACCGCAAGTTAGACTTTCATTTAAAAATTAAATTCAGAAATGTAGTAGCAAATGAACAGCAACCCAATAAAGTATTGCCTTTGCTTTCACTATTAGTGGAACTCTAAAAAAATTTCATAAAAAAAGTGTACGTGCGTGGGAAAAAAGTAAATCCACGTTGGTGTCAAATTTCGTCGGTGTGATTATGCATAACATCAATCTAAATCGTGCCCTGTAATCATTTATGTTGTCATAGAGTACACAAGCATTTAACCATCTACACATTTACTTACACCAAATGCACACTTCAACCCTTTTGCGAGAATATCTAGTTAGTCAGAAAAAAAAGGTTAATAACGTGTCAAGACACTTAAGCACTGTTCATATTGGCATGTCACGTGCCGCTACTCCTCACTAGTTCATTACTACCACAAGCGTCAATGTAATGATGCCTTCGAAAGCTTTTCGTTTTCGACGCAATGGCTACGAGGATCTGGATAAGTGCAATCAATCATCAGAGGAAAGTCTGCCTCGCTTAGCGTGCTCTGAGAGTCGAACACAAGCGACAGCCGTTACAGCATTTGGTCAACGAAATCAACCAAAACATCGCATTTTCTCAATTTCCGACACGGCATTAAATCTTACGCCAGCGGCGACATCTAACACCAAACACCATCCAGCACCTGCAAGCAGCCTGACCCAACAGCAATCGTCGTCGTCGTCGCCGTCGCCACGTTGCGCCCTCCGCAATCAATCAACGCAGAGTCTCAATAATGGTATTAGCCTTGGTTCAATTGTGCTGGTGCGTTCACATGGCACTTGCACCGCACAAGACTGTGGCGAAGGCGCTGGGCAAAGTTGCTCCAGCTTTAACCTTGGATACCATCATGTCACCAAGAAGCAAAGTAGCGATGCCGCCGCCAAAAAGTGGGAATGTGGGCGCAAGCAAAATATTCGTTTACTTTGCTTTACATTCTTTTATTGTGTTTACTTAGCAATTGGCAGTGTTTGCTTTCAAATTGTGGAAACACCGGTCGAAGGGGAATTGCGTACTGCTGTGCGTTTGCTGCGCGCCAACTTCCTGCAAAAGTATCCTCAAATACCGGGTAAAGTTTTATTATAAAAAAGTATTTGTCTTTATGTCAATCTTCCAATTTTGGAGCGGCCCACTACTAAACACTCACACACATGCATATTTTGGGAGATGAAATTAGTAGTACATGAACATTCTTAAATCCATGCATATATATGTATGTTCTGCGTATGTGCGCAAATGTTTAAGGAACATATTTTTGTTTGCACATTAGGGTGCCTTACCAAAATAGGTTGTGGTTTTTTTCACCGGAATTATGAAGTGTATTATATTTTAAGACTTCCGCCAACATATTTGGCACACATATTAAGTCAAAAATCGTATTATTTTCATGGCGTTGCTACAATTTTTGCAGACTTTCTCTCTTCTATCATTTGAGGTGATGTTTTCTGGGAAAATAGTCGTATTTTTGAAAACTAATTTTATTTGTAAAACACTCGCTTGTTAGGGGGGTATTATAAGAGCCCATCTTACGTAAATTATAATATTTTTTTCGAAATATTTTGGCGAAATAAGTTTTACAATGGCGATGGAAAAACAGTGCCGATTTTTTTTCGTATGGAGATGGATGCACTCTAATGTACATACATATGCACATTTGTAAATATTTGTTTAGCATGAAGTCAAGCAAATTTGCTGTGTTATCCCAATTTGTAATTTAACACTTACGTACATGTGTAAAAAAAAAACAAGATTTCTGCACAATTATGTACCGTATTTCCTTTATTATGAAGTCGTTAAAGCCGGTCATGATTTTTTTTTGTTTTGTGTGGCAGTGCGCAACTTTAACCACTGTACTATGATGGTCGTAAAAATTCGTTGTTTAGAGGACAAATTTTTTAAGAAAGAGCAGTTTTGCATACAAGAGAAATTCGTTACAGAGGATTTCGCTAAAGAGAATGTATGAAAAAAAAAATAAAAAATTACAAGTAATTTCTAACCAAAACCGACTTCAATTTTAATATAAAATTTTATGAGTACCGTTAATTTCTTTATAATCCAATGATCGGATCTAAACCAAATTAGAATGGGACCACATCGGAGATACCACCTTTCCATTAAAAAAATAAATATAGAAATCGGTTAACGTGGTCCAAAGTTATGCGGTAACATACAATAAAAACATTCCGACGAATTCTCCATTTTTTGAAGTAGGTTAAAAAATATAGAAGTCTTCAAACAAACCGTGTTTAAGGAGGAGTCTTCATTGTAGAGGAGTTGATTAGAGAGGATGCGGACAGAAGCGAGATAGTTAGGATCAAATACGTCTACTTTCTCTAAAATTAGCAAATTCTTTTAGCAAGTCGGGATTTTCGAGATTACTTCTATATTCCAGGGACTATTTCCTGATTTTCAGAATTTTCGTTGTATTTATCGATTTTGATATCGATAAATTTATAGATTATTCAACCAATATATTAATCCATATTTTTATAGATATTTGTATTCATATTTGTATCGATTTTTTTATTTTGAAGGATGCAAATACAGTATATTTTGCTTTGCTGCCCATCCATCTTTGCACGAAAAACTTGTGCGCTTAACCGAAAAAAGTACTTTTCGAATTTCTTTACTATTTCAATGAGGAAGTTTTCCGAATCGCTATGAAATCAATGAAGGATAATGAAGGAGCACTTACCGCGTAGAAATTACTGCAAGCGAAATTTTTTCCGAATGGTATCTAATTATCTATGTATATAACTACATAAAATTATAGCCGTTTTAGTTGTTCTGCGGGATGTGTAAAATAAATAAAAGCTTGTAAAATTAGGGTAATTGTAGAGCCAGTGCATGGGCCAATGTGGTCACAGTTGGTATTTGTTGATAATTAAAGGGCACGCATTATATTTAATCTACACGTTATCGCTAAAAGTGGGCCACATTTCCTTCCGTCCGCGAGCCCCACACGTGTTAATCCGGCCCTGTGCATATAAATTTAATTAATCTCAATAATTATTTGTATGGTTTGTTTTTAAAATTATACGTAATTTCTTTTATTTCTTCCATTTATGTATGTATGTATATAGACGAAGATCTCGAAGAGTTTCTCAAAGCGGTGATTACGGCTAACGATCGCGGCATATCACCGTTGCGCAATGCCACAAATGAAATGAACTGGAGCTTTGGTCAAGCATTCTTCTTCTCCAGCACGGTGATAACAACAATCGGTGAGTGCCATTCAACCTAGAAACATACTTTTACATATCAACATACCTACATACATACATTCATGCATATGTATGTATGTATTTTTATGTATTTGCAAAATTGTGGTCAGCCACGCTTGTACAGATTACATTATCATTGTTGATGTCCGCATTTATTGCATTTTGTTAATCACCCCGCACAACGGCATGCAAACACACATACATACAGACATCCACACATAGGCATACACATTTATGTATACACACATATTTACTTATGTACATATGTATGTATGTTTGTACGTAAGAACATTAAAACTTCTGCCTTCTGATTTTTGCATATGAAATATTTTCACCTCT